TGCCTGAGCGGCCAGCTGAAGAGACCAGAAGCCAACCTTCTTGAAGCGCCGTTTGCGCGCTTGCTCATCAACCACGTCCCGCGCAAATGCGTCATATACCTATAGAAAAACAAAACGAATTAGTATGTATAAATACCAATCGCGCGTGGAAGGCTTACCGCGGCCGAAAGGTCATCCATGAGCCCGCTGTCAAAGGTCGTCCAACTACCGTCAAAATCTGCAAGTCGTTTGACAAGACGGCAATGGATGGGAATGAAAGTTCGCCTCGAATTGATGTAGGCCACAATGGGGCGTATCAGCGCATTGTTTATGTACGAAAGATCTCGGGTAAACAAAGGCACCACTGCCCTAACATTGTTCAACTGAAGCCGCAGATCAGTAACTAAAAAGCGTTTGTCGTCGCTCGAAGCAGTATCGTCCATTCTAGGTTGACGGCGTGAGTCTGATTCATGATATTGGTTGGATATGACGGTTGCTTCTAACCGATCGTAAAGGCCGGCCATTACTTGCGCCAGACTTTCATCATTTTCCGCTGGAAACATGATGTCGGCAACGATATCAACGGTTCCCTCATGTATCCAAGAAAAAGGACCTTGCACCCCCCGATTGAGATGATCGATGTTTAGCCCATCGATGCGTATCCTGCTGTGCTTCTTCCATGGGCTGGGTTTGCCATCCGCCTCAATTTTATTATCCATCTCGGCACCCGCAAAGCTGTGACTTTGCCGCGGGTGAATAGTGAACAAGGAATTGTCGAAAGACCCTGTCATCATGTTCGCCGACATGAAGTCATAGAGAAGCCATTGCTTTCTCAGTTGTGGAAGATCGCATGAGAATATACTCACAGAGTAAGGTCTGAAGTTACCCGGCTGGTAGACCGTAACAAGGACATCGCTCATCTTGAACGAGTCAATCTCAAAGTCTCCAGGATGATGTTCGTGTCGATAAGATTTTGGATCCAAATGGTCGTCCGACCAATGCACAGATCTTCGGTCGACAACTCCTCGAATTCCTTTGACCTCGACATCGCGCAGAAGCCCTTTTCCATTGATCCATTTTGTGAAAGACAATGTAACGTTAACTGTCTCAATGGACACGTCAAACTGAGTGTAATTCGTGTCCTCCTCATCGGGTATCAATTGCTGATCCGGAAATGGCTCAGGGCTAGAACTCCCGCTCAGGGCGGCAGCGGCAGCCACGGCAGCTGCCGTCTTCGACGAACCCTTACTGACGTGCCCTGTTCCCTGTCCCGGTCGTCTTGAGACGAACACGTTTTTGAAGGTTATGACGCCGTCCTTCCATTTAGGTACAATAGCGGATTCAAAGACAACCTTCACACCCGATGATTTCGTGAGATAATTGCCCACCCACCCTGCCAGTGTTTCTTATAGATGTTAGCAAATATAGTTCGAGCTAGATCGTCGGTCAATGCCTTGAAACATACCTTGAGCCAACACCGTATTTATCGCGATTATCAACAGCGAGAAGAACGTGGTGGTTCCTAGGACGATCCATACAACATGACCCAGCAGCACCCATGAAAAGAGTGCAGTAATCTCGTCAAAATTGAAGGGACGGACGCTACGGATAGAGAACCACTTGAATCGTACTTTCAAACGAGACCAAAAGCCATTGGCTGCAGCTAGCAGTTCTTCTTTCGTAGGTCGATGCAGATGTGACATGTGGGGTAGACGGTTCATGATGTGCCGGCTTGTGAATCCCTCAAAGTGCTCCTCTTTTGATTTCAAATCGCCAGACTGAGTATCGCTATCCACAGTTTCCCGAGACGGAGAGGGGGAAGTATTGTTATCATTGCCTAGAGGCTCATTCGAATGTTCTGACTTTGACCCATCATCCTTCTTTGTGTGCAAACCTCTTTTCCATGTGTAAAGTGACGTGCAAACAAACTTCCTATCCAGTAAGTGACTTTGCGAGATGAATTTTTCTGGACCGATTGCGCAAGATGTACCAGCCTCTACTGCACATGGGCTCGGGGAAACCCCGAGCATAAGGAAGCTACCAGATGCAAAGCGCTTGGTAATATGTCTCGTCCGCGGCGGCAATGATGATATCTTACGCCCATGGGTATTAAACAGAAATCTTCGGAACCAATTTCCTGTGCTCGGTGATTCGAAGAAAAAGGTCATGCGGCTGTTCCGGAGCTCACGCCCAAGCAGAGGATGTGCTGTGTCCCAGATACTGGTGTACAGCCTGCGTCCCAAGTTGAAGGACATGATGCCGTCACATTCTGAACATTTCCTTATAAAAAGAAGTCAGTCCACGGAAAGAGGGTGTAGAAATAACCTTTGTAGTACAAAAGGCTGCACAGGTTAGGAGCAAAATAAGGTGGGAAATACTTAAACTTGAGTTCCACAATGAGAAGTAGAGATGTTAATATGACACTTCTGAGAAGCTTCTCGCCGCTGCCCAGACGTGATTCTTTCCATGAAATCATCCCGCACACCAGATGTTTGTCTTGTTTGCATTTGAAAAATCCACGACCCACATGCACATTTCCCTACCACTGCCCATAAAATTTGCGATAACAAGCCCCTCAGGTGATTGTCAGGGAATCCTATCTACAGAGATTTAATACTCGAGATAGCGATAGATAGACGACGAGAATGCCAGCACCGACAGCGCTTCTTCGAAAGTCTGATGAGCCACTCTCGGCCGAAGAGCCATCTTTGGCTTTTTCTTCAGGTTTGTTCAGTCATTGACTCGATCCGTACAATCGCCTAACAATCTTAAGAGCGAGACGATGAGATCTTGATAGATGCTCAAGCATCCGGCCAGGGAGAAGCACCATCTCTGATTCCCACCGAGTCTGCCCAGGACAGCGACATGCGCATTGATGAAGAGAGCCGACCAGTGTTTACACCAATAGCGGACGCCGGGACCGTACTGCGAGTTGAAACTCGAAAGGTGCCAGTTCCTCCTCACCGTATGACGCCCTTAAAGGCAAACTGGCCCAAGATTTACCCGCCCCTGGTTGAGCATCTCAAACTACAAGTGCGAATGAACATCAAGAACCGAGCGGTCGAACTGCGTACCTCTAAATTCACCACCGACACGGGAGCGTTACAGAAAGGCGAAGATTTTGTAAAGGCATTCACACTTGGGTTTGATGTCGACGATGCCATTGCCTTATTGAGGCTTGACGACCTGTATATTCGCTCCTTTGAGATCCGTGATGTCAAGGCTTCGTTGAACGGAGAACATCTCAGTCGCGCTATTGGGCGAATTGCGGGCAAGGATGGGAAGACCAAGTTTGCCATCGAAAACGCAAGCCGAACACGGGTTGTGCTTCAGGGCACAAAGGTCACCATTTTGGGCAGATTTAGAGATTTGGGAATCGCCCAAGAAGCCATTGTTTCTCTGATCTTGGGTAGTCCTCCGGTAAGTCGTTGTAGCGTCGTATTTCCAGTCTGAAGAGCAACTGCTAACACATAATAGGGTAAGGTGTATGGAAACTTGCGTAAAGTGGCGTCTCGCATGAAGGAGCGATTTTGATACCTATATTCTTTTGTTATTTTCTTCCTCGGTTTGACGACAACCTTACTTGGCATGACATGGGCGTTTAGGGTTATGGTAGCCAGTGTTCGAATGCGATACATTTGATGTGATGTTTATAAAAAAGTTGCTCCCAAGCAAAGATATTCCCTCTCATGCTGTCATTACATATTTGGTTGAACTGTTATGAGTAAGACAGAACAAACAAGTGAGGATACTCAACAGTAACCCCTCTAGTCTTTCTTCAAAGGTGTATAGATCTCCTCTATCCCTCTCTGGGTGATCACCATCATCTGTAAACCATCTCCAACTTCGATATGTCTCTCAACAGCACTAGTGAATGCGTCCCGAACTAGTTGTTCGACTGTCGCCCTTGGTAATGGCTCTGCCTTCTTGGGCTCAAGGGCATGTCCTTCCCCGCTGCCTGGGATGTACTGATTTTTGAAATTAACTTGATTGTCCAAAAACGGCATGATCAAGCTCGCTGCCGACCCTGCTGCTCGGCATTGCTCCCTTTCGTACGAGCCGACTGGATCGTAGCTGTACAAAGCCCCTTTACCTTCCTCATCCAAGCCCGCAAGGATCGCATGGACATAGTAAGGGAAGAAGCGCTTCTGGTAAAGAATAGTCGATAGCCGCTGAGCACAAGCTCGTACAGACATGGGCTTTCCATGCTGGTACTTGTACATCTTTACCACCGCATCTAGCCGCTCCTTGAGTGCTTGACCATCTGCGGCGAAACCCACGACCGAGAGCAGAATGTGGGCACCCTCCCCTGTCTCAGCATCACCTCCAATCTTGAAAACCTTGGGAACGTAGCGAGAATTAATGTTGTAACCCGCAACAGAACGAGTGTCACCCGCTAGAATCGCAAAATCGGAACCTGTGATTCCTAGGGTAGAGCCGCCATTGTCGGTATATCTTAAATCAGAAGTCAGTGACGGTTCATACAATCATGTAGAGTGATCCTGTTACATACGGGTAGAAGGAGTGTTCTCTGACTGCGGCGCTGCTTGGTTGAGCAAAGGAATATCCAATGGCCTCACTTTGAGGGTCGTGAGCCATGATCGAGGCCATCTTCGTTGAGAATTGGCTTGATGAATGCGAAAGCGAAAAGAGGTCAGATGTGTAAACTTATGGACACAATGGCCGCTGTATCGTCAATTTGTGCGATCTTGATGGCGCTTGTGATTGCTGGTGAGGATGTAGGTTGGTTACACTAAGTATTGGTATCTGACGCGATGCTCTAGCTGCCTGCTGCTTAGCTAATTCAATAGCTTCCGCCACAGGTGGCTTGATGTGGCTGATTTGCTTGAGTTGGTCAAACTGGCACATAATGAATACCGGAAATAAACATAGCTTGTGCTAATTCGAGTCTCAAGTATCCTCTCTGTAATTTTTATTCGGCGAAGGCTTCAATTTTGTGCATCGGTAAGAAACGGCCGGTTGAGGAGCCTCTTGAACAGCATCCCTACACTTCTTGAAGAATGACGAGCTTGCTGGGTCTCGGCGCATATCAAAGCAGTAGCGAGGATGAGGGTGAACCCAGACATTCTTCACCAACGCCGAATGTATACGCTTTGGATCGCTACGTCTGATATCCGTTTGCTAATATTGAATTTCAGATCGAGCACAAGGACCAGGGAACTGAAGCATCAAAGACCACAGGTCGTATAAGTAAGCTGCCTCTTCTCCCGGGTATTCTCTAGCTGGAGCAAAGCCTGATACACGATATAGCTCAAACGGGAAACACCAACAACCATAATCTAACAGATGAAGCTCGTCTCAAAGCACTTAGTGGGCCCATTATGGGACCGTTGCACAATGAAGCGCCAACTTCTGCAGACAAACTTCCAATTGATGCGCAATTGTCCCCTGCCTCAGCAGCACGCACATTGATTCATGATCTAACTCTACCTCCCGTGGCCAATCTGGACATTCCCCCGTCTCCTCCTGGCTCACCCGAGCCCATGGCTAATGCGAAGTTTACCCATTTTCTGTCATTGAAAAAGCAGGGTACACATTTTAATGAGAAGTTAGCAAATTCATCATCACTCAGAAACCCCAGTCTCCTACGAAAATTGATGGATCATGCCGGGATTGACGAGCAAGCGCAATACAATACTTCTTTGCCTGCTGAATTGTGGAATCCCTCTGGTTTACCGAGCTGGGGTTACAAGGAGGAACTATTGAAGTCACAGAAGGAAAGTAACAACAAATTCGAAGAAAGGAGGCGTACGGGACAGAGGGAAAACATTGATTTCGTGCCTTCCGTTACCATGGACTCCAGCATTACGTGATCTATCTGTGGATGTAGAATCAATTGGGAAAGGCATGAACTTCCCAGACATCGAGAGTACTTTGCATTGAAAGAGTAGCTAGGAAATCAGCGGGTCATTAAGTTCTTCCAGGAATCCTACACATATGAGAATTGATTCATAGAGATATATCCACTATCCTATCATGTTTCAGAACTCTCTTCTGATCTCATGATTTTAATGGCATTTATGGTGAGGACAACATGCTTTGTATGGATTGACGCTGTTATAGTTTCGAGAAATTCAACGTATAGCCGCGCGGGCGTGTCCACCGATGGGTGACATAAGGTGCTAACGTAACCAGAGCTCCGTAAGCTCTCCTGCCTAGCTTGACCAAACCCTGCATCATCGCATTCCTAATAACTGTCTAATCTAACCGCCTTGCTCCTGCCAAATAAGCTGTGCACTTCTTCTCGCTCCAATTTTTCATTCATTTCACCTTATCTGGATTTAGCTCGCATCCCTCGACGAACCGCTCAAGTGCAGCTTTCATCATGAATCATTTTCCTGAAGCCTGGGGCCGAGTGAGTGCCCCATTCCCCCAGTTCTTATTGTAGTACTAATAAGTCTCCTTCTCTAAAGCCAAGGAACGATGTATACGGTCCCTACAATCCGTCATATCTTCAGACTTCTGGCCCCAAGTCACATACTCAGTCTCCCGCTGTGACGGGCACGTCGGTAGTAGCGGTCAAGTTCAATGGAGGAGTTGCAATCGCCGCCGATAACTTGGGTACGTAAAAGGGGTGATCTCCTTTGCGGCACACACACACAACTGACCAGAAGAACCTGTAAATAGCATCATATGGCTCTCTTGCTCGATTCTCGGACGTCAAGCGTCTACGTGTATTCGGTGAATCTGCCGTCATCGGATTCAGTGGTGACGTGTCTGATATGCAGCATATCGACCGCCTTTTGGAGTCGATTGATATCCGGGAGAATTACTCAACCCATGGAAACACGCTGAATGCGAAAAATCTCCATACCTACTTGTCCAAGGTTTTCTACAAGCGACGTTCGGAGTTCAACCCACTGTGGAATCAAGTCCTTGTTGCTGGGTTCGACGGTAACAACCAGCCTTTCTTGAGCTCTGCAGACTTGCTCGGAACAACATTTTCAGCGCCACACCTTGCTACTGGATTCGGTGCCCATCTCGCTATTCCGATTCTGCGTCGACTGTTTCCCGAGGAAAGGCCTGTTGAAGAAATTACCAAGGAAGAGGCGGTGAATGCGTTGAAAGAGTGTCTCAAAGTTTTATGGTACAGAGATGCACGGAGTCTCGACAAATTCTCGTTGGCAGTGATTACCAAGGAAGGAGTGGAGATGCATGAGGACCAGAAGATTGAGAAGCAGAGCTGGGCATTCGCCGAGTCCATCAGGGGATACGGAGCTCAGGTTAACTGATCTTCGGACGGGAGTCCGTCGCTCGAGGCTCACTGGAGTGATAGAGTTGATAAGAGGATGACGCTACGATGAGGGCCTAGCATCCTGGACGATCTCTGAGAAACACTGATGATATCTAACATTTCACTTATGCTATTCACTCAGCTTTGCAGGTCAATTACAGATCTGTCGTAATCGAAGCCTACAGGAACATGGTTATCCTTTAAAGCTTAGCAGAGAGCCTGTCAAAGACAACTTGGTTCACGCATGATCCCACCCCTTCAAGAGACACTTCAACCTGATCACCGTCTTTCAGCCACAGGGCGGGCTTTCGGCCCATGCCCACCCCCTGCGGTCTGTAATTAGGCAACGAGTTAGCCTTTCCTCGATTAAATAGTGTATCATGAATGGGGGTAATGATATGGTAAGGCCAAAACTCACGTTCCAGTGAAGATCAGGTCCCCCGGTAACAGGGTGGTGCCTTGAGACAAAAATGCCACAACCTTCGCAACACTGAAAATCATGTCCCTAGTAGAGGAAGACTGAACGACCTGGCCATTGAGCCTCGTCGAGATATGAAGTGCGTTGGGATCACGGATCAACCGCGAGGACACGATGCCTGGTCCAAACGGCGCCCAACCATCAAACCCTTTCCCAAGACCCCATTGACCGCCCCCTCGCTTGATCTGCCAATCTCTGTGAGAGACATCATTACCCACGGCGTAGCCCAGCACGTAGTCTAGAGCCCGGCTCTCAGGGACATCTTTGGCTTCCTTGCCAATGACGATAACGAGTTCGCATTCATAATCGAGACCTTCGCCTTCTTGCGCCATAGTAGATATCGGAATGTCATCTCTGGGGCCCGCGATGGACGTGACTGGTTTGTAGAATAGAACGGGATATTTTGGGATGGGGAGGTTGGACTCTCTTGCATGTTGCTCATAGTTCAAACCCAGGCAGCGGACCGTCCTAATATCTTTCCTGGCCAGAGGCGCAAGAAGCATCTTAACCTCGGAGACCTGGTCGGTGACATAGTGCTGACCGAAGATGTCACCCTGGATCACCTTTGCCTTGGTCACTTTGGAAAGGTCGCTGACGCCTGCCGGGAGAATGGCATCACCGTAGTAAACATGGCCGTCTTTGGCCAAGAATCGAATGAGTCGCTGTCCGGAGAATAGCGAAATGGATAAGCATTGAACGACTATTCAGTACTACTTCGGGAGTGGGATATTATGAAATAAGGGAAGCCATTCTTGTCCTGCCAGTGAGGTGAAGGGGAAAAAAGGCTGGTCTTCGTGTGTAGCCGTAAGACAGTATAGATGACAAATGCGCCATACTTACAGAAAACGTAGACATGTTGACGTCTTCAATTGCTCATCAGAACCGGGTGTATCAATTGGATGTTGTAGATAGGCGGGTATATAGATACACTTGGCATACAGAGTATGTAAATGAATATTTACGAAGTGGGATAGTTGGTCTTATGGACTATCTACGATTGGGATATATATACTCTGTGCCTGGTTTCTCGGCCGGAACAAGAGCTACTGCAGTAGCCGCTTCCCCTGTCCTCAGACCGGCGGAATCCAGATTGTAGACTAGATCGTTGTTAGACATTCGGATTTGCACTCTGTAATATTATGTGTGGTCGTTGGTAATGTTAGTGGACTGCAATTCACCCACCAATTTCACGTTTCCCTGCCTGTCTGGCCGCGTCTCTTCGAGTATTACTCCAGTGTGAGGACTATCTGTGTCTTGTGTTCCGAGGCGTATTCAAGGGAATATGGAGATGCTAAGCTTTCGGAACTATCTACGGGGCCAATGGCCGCTTGGCCATCAAAACCAAGTTCTCAAGAACAACCAACATTCATGACTCGACTTCGTTCGAACACCAGACTAGGACCTTCCGTACTGAGAAGTTTTCCAGGAAACATATAATACGCCATCCAAACTGATGGCCCGCCTATCAGGTCTTCAGAGGGAGGTCCTGTCTCTCTATAGAAAGTGTCTGAGAGAAATCAGGAAAAAGCCTTCAGTGAGTCTCCTCTTTAAAGCACAATTTCTATGACTGAGTGACTAGGCTACATGATGAACTTGTCAATATGGCATTCATTTGGCTGATTGAACCGATACTGTAGGAAACAAGGAGCAATTTCAAAGCGTACACAAGGTATAACAGAAAGAAAGTCTAGCAGTGTGTTTGACAGACATCTTGAAATGCACGCACCACTCCTTCAATAAATCCGCTAACTCCCCAACAGAGCAGAGTTTCGAAAGAACATGTCTGTCAGCAAGAAGGATTTTAGTGCGATAGAATATCTACTGCGCAAAGGGAACAGGCAGCTTGAGATGTATTCATCCCCTGGTATCCGAAACATCCGGTAATCGCGGCGCGCGTTCAGCCATGAAGAGCTTGCGATCACCAACGGCAGAGGCATTAATCTCTGCCGCTATCCTCAAAGCAAGCTACCAACGACCATGACCACGCAACTGTACGATCGGCGTCATTGGATTAGGACAGCCTGTGCCAATGCATCGAATCTCGTGACGATCACGTGACTCATCCGAATGTGGAAGGTTCTCGCATCTTCCGAGGCAATGAAATTCATCTCGAAGCCTCGAGAGGCATCTTGAGAATTCGAGTCGTCGCGTCGAACAGCCAAGCGATGCCGGTGTCTTCTAGATGCCCATTACTTCTCGACAATATGGAGATACCAGTGCTTTCTAGAATAACATTCGACCATTATAATAACCACTCAAAGCCCGTTGAATGTAGAACATCAGATTACAGACAAACATTTATTGAACACAAAGCAAGATACTAAATACATCCTTCAAGCTACCTTCGTTGTCGCTCTTAGCCAGCAGCTGCATTTTTGCGAAACCACATACACTACTTTCCCTCATACTACCAAACATGGCATTCCCACGCTTTTCAACCGACCTGGCTCCCTTGTTCCAGCTGTTGGATGACTATGACACCCATCGTACCTATCGCCCAAAGAGCAAGGTCACACCTGTCCGGACATTCGCACCCAAGTTCGATGTGGGCGAGTTCCCAGATGGATATCGTCTCGACGGAGAACTTCCCGGCGTCAACCAGAGCGACATCGAAATTGAGTTCAGTGATCCACAGACTCTTGTGATCAAGGGTCATGTAGAACGCAACTACGACAACACCGCTACCGAGACCGGGGACGACAGCTCATCCACCAAGTCCCGTCAACCTACAGTTGAAGACGAGACTGAAGAGGGCAATGCCTCGTCTGCTATCGCATCGCCGGCTAAGCCAGCTGAGCAGACTGTTACAAATTCACAAACTCAGACAAACTACAAACTCTGGGTCTCTGAGCGCTCAATTGGCGAATTCCAACGAACCTTCGCCTTCCCAACCAGAGTCGACCAAGATGCCGTCAAAGCAAGTCTGAGAAACGGAATCCTCTCAATAGTTGTTCCAAAGGAGGCGGCGCCCAAGTTGAAGAAAATCCGCGTCGAGTGAAACAGACGGTTAATCGGCGACAGCTTTACGTTCACGGTTTTCTCATGACATGTTTCCTGCTTTAAATGCGCTGACATGTTTCCTGCTTTGAATGCGCATGTAC